GTGCAACATTGTAGGTATGCTTGTTTCATGTGTATAGCATTTTTTTTACGTTTGTGTTACAATTCTCAATAACTTTTTTCTGATTGAATAAAGTTTTCATCTGACTTCATCTGACCTAAAAGTCTTCTATAGAATACCAACCGGTCTCAGTAAACAAAATCGGCTTAAAGGAATAAGCTGGAAATTCATAAGTAACGGCTTAAAAACGATACGTTTACCCTATAAAAACGGCGCACAAACGGCACATTAACGGTCTGTAAACGGCGTAAAAACGGCCAAAAAACGGGCAAGAAACGGTGTAAAAACGGGCCGTAATACGGGCCCAGTTAACGGTGAAAAACGGCGTAAAAACGGTGCATAACGGTGTAAAAACGGTACGTTTACGGCTCGTTAACGTAGACTTAATGGGACGTTAACACGCCGTTAACTTGGCCGCTTTCAACGGCCTGGGATAATATCGTTATGATATTTTTCGTTCAGCATGGAAAGAAAAAAATGCTCGCTTTAATCAGCAAGATGATAGCCATTTTATTTCACAAAAGTTACGACTCTATTGAAACTACGTATGAGTGATGTGCAACTATTTTTCAAATTAGCAAAAAAAATAAAAGTGAGTTTAAACAAAAACTTAGTGTATTTTGCTCCCCATCGTTCAGTCAGTGTCTGATGTGAATTTTCCTGCTATCGGACGCATATTGGCTGAGAAACCCATACTTACAATTTTCAGATACCTCAATCAGAAAGTGAGTTTAAGGAAAGAATCACATTTTTTTAATGAAAACACAGAACATCACGCGCCATTCGACGCCGCTCTATGTGACGAATCGAAAGGTGTATAAAACATGACCTTTTGACCTTATCTCAGCACATCAAAATCTGAAAAACTTTTTACCCAGAAGTTTCCAAATCAGACATGGGCATATCAGAGACTTCTCAAGTCGTAGACAAATCACGTCATTCAAAACTTTTCCCAAGTCAAGTCTTTCATGATTTCTTTCTCGAGTGGAAGTCATTTTCAAGTCAAGTGAAGATTTTTTTGGAAGAATCGAGAGTTTTCTTCTCTAGATTTTCTTAACCTTGGAGATTGGGATTTGGATTCGCTGTAGAAGAAACGTTGAAGCGATTTTTTGCAAAAAATCACAATTTTCTGTACGAAAAAATTCAAAAAGACTTGACTTAAATTTCGAAGGTTGTCCACGTCAAATCAAGTTCATGAGGTACTTTTCCGGAGGCCAAGTCAAGCCCAGACAAGTCATAGAAGTCCTTGACTTCTCTTTTTTTATGCTCTATCTTGTGTGAAAGTTTTATGGAGTTTGGACGAATCCATCAGAAGTCATAGCAGAAACAATTTCAAAAAAAGGTCAAACACGGCGAGCTGTTGAGATACGAAGCTGTAAGTTTGTATGGTAGTGGGACACACAAAAGTGTGTAAAAGAAAAAATCGGGCCATAAGAAATTAATGCGGAAAAACCGTAAATAACCAATTCTACAAAAAAGTTGCGCATTACTCATATATTTCAACATACTTGAATTCGTCGAGACTGTTGTTCTGTTGCATCTGTCAAAACGGGATGTGATGACGTTGTGCTTTCCTGTGTCTGTTGTTCGTCATCTGCAATTTGGAAACGAATGTAATAAAAGAAATGAATCAAAACGCATGAATTCTTGCGCTTACTGACTAACTGAAACTGTTTTAATTTATTATTCAATGTTAATATTACTGATTGATAAAGACTCTTCATATCAATATCTGACAGTTTTATTTGATTTTCATTCATTTGTTTAGGATTAACGGAAGGATCAAATTGGACGAGCATCGATTGTTTGTGTATTATATCGGTTTCATCTTTTTGTAGCACAAATAATGAAGTGTTCGCTTGTTTTTCATACCAGTTAACCGTTATATCATCTCCGTCAATTTTCGTTGTTTTGCAGAGCCAAAACAAATCTAAAATAGAAGTGAATGTTAGAGTACGAACAGATTTTTTTCTCAAATCATAAACTGTTGATCACACACCGTTATAGCAGCTAACGATTTGTCCGATTTTTAATCTAGTCATGCTTTTAGTTATCTAAAATGAAATTTGACAGTTCACACCTGTATAATAGCAACGGCAAATTCCGCTTCATTTTGGGATGAAATCAGAAATAAACACGTGGACGCTACCCGAAAGTCAAAATCACACTATATTCTTGAAACAAAAAATGTTTCAAACACTCAGACCTATCACTGGTAAAAAACTGTGCTTAAAACGAT